TTCTTTTGAACAAATCATCTTCACAAGATTGTTATAGTATTAGTGTGATTGCTGCTGTTTCACAATTTCTTAAGGGTTCGACATTGGTCTTTCGAGAAATATATTACTTCACTTAACTTGCGTTTGGATTTACATAATTAAAGTTGAAGCAAATATTTGACGCCGTTACCAGGGAATTGAAAGACAAGGAGTCTTCATCACATCTATTGAGGTTTTCGGTATTTACGATTCGTCGAAGATCCGATAATTTCGTTCCATTTTTTTAAAAATTATTTTTACTGAAATTTATTTTCTTTTTGTTATTTAATTTAGATTTCTATTTTATTTATTTATTTCGTTTATTTGTTTTATGAGTTTTTGGCATCGTAATTTAAGTGGTCGTTTGATAAGAAAAAAATTTAGATATTCTATTTGAAAATTTATTTGATTCATCAAACTTAAATCTTACTTCTCATACAATGGCTATTGATCCCAATAATAATAGGTGAAATAATTTTTCTGAACATGAGGATCACGAGAATAAAACAAATAATCACGATGAGAATGATGTGAATAATTTGAATGCTAATCATGGTCAGACTTGGTGTGAACATCTGCAACCTGCACGTCACACTGTATCCTCATGCATCATTTTTTCATTAAATGCTAAAAACTTTGTTTTTAAACCTGGCATGATTGCATTGCTTCCAAAATTTCATGGCATGGATTCAGAAAATCTGTTCTTGCACATTAGAGAGTTTGAGGAAGTATGTGCCACATTTTATGATCAGACTGTGTCAGTGAATACAATCAGATTGAAGCTCATTCCTTTTTCATTAAAGGAAAAAGGTAAGACTTGGATACATTTACTCAGACCTAGGTCTATAGGTACATCGCCTGAGATGCAACCACACATCGCACAAACTCTTTCAAAAGGCAAATCATGAATTTTTCTCAAAAATAGTCTGAAATTTTTTTTCAAAGTTGGGAGAAATTTAAAGACCTCCTTGCATCTTGCCCACATCATGATTATGAGAGCTGGCGTGTGATAAGTTTATTTTATGAAGGTTTAATTCCATAAATGTGTCAGTTTGTAGAAATGATGTGCAATGGTGACTTTATGAATAAGGAACCAGATGAGGTCTTTGACTTTTTAGATTGGTGGTTAGCCGAGAATGCACAATCTTGAGATACTACTTGTTAAAAGCCTCCTAAAAGTAAGACCACACAATCGTGATCAAGTGGGAGAAAATACCAATTAAGGGAGGAAGATGACCTAGGGGTTAGAATTGTCACCTTAGTTAAAAGGGTTGAAGCCATGAAATTTAAAAGGGTTAATGAAATTGACATTGTACTTGTTGAGAAGATTTGTAGTATTTGCGAGATCCTTGGACACCCCATGAAGGAGTGTCCAACACTACCTATTCTAAAAGTAGTCTTGCATGATCAAGCAAATGCTGCAAATATATTCTCAAAACCTTATAATAATCCTTATGCAAATACATATAACCCTAGGTGAAAAAATCATCCAAATTTTAGTTGGAGGGCTAAGAATCATGCATCACAAATACCTCAACAAAATTCCTCTAAATTTGTACCCTATGTTCTACCCCCAAAGAGGAATATTGAAGAAGTGTTGTCACAATTCATGCAAAGTCAGACAAACTTTAATAATCAGTAGGAAAATTTCAACAAACAAACTTCACAGGTTATTGACGATATTAGGAGTGCAATCACTAAATTGATCACTGCCCCATGCCATCCAAAAAAGCGTAAGTTTTTAGCCCAACCCAACCAAATTTGCAGGGTCAATTTAATATGAATGAAACAAGCACATCAAACAATATTCATGAGCAGTTAAAGTTTATCACCACACTTCATAATGGAAAAGTAATTGACAAAACTATTCCTCCTAAAGTTCAAGAATCTGATAAAATTTCAAAACCTACGGAGAGTGGTGATAAACTTGACTAATCTGAAATTAATAAGCCTGAAAAGTATGCTATACCTGCACCATTCTCACAGATATTACTTACCTCTATCAAGCCAAACATGCACAATGATATGTTAGAGATTTTTATGCAGGTGAAAATCAATATTCCCTTGTTAGATGCTATTCAGCAAATACCTTTTTATGCAAAAATTTTAAAAGAATTATGTACTATTAAAAGGAAATTAAATGTGCAAAAGAAGACATTTTTGACTAAGTATGTATCTTCCATCATACAACATAGGACTCCACCAAAATATAAAGACTCAGGTTGCCCCACCCTCATAAAAGAAATCTCACATGTCTAACCGCATAGCGAAAATAATACATCAAATTCTTGAAGTATCAAATAGATTCACGTTGTGCCAAGTAACAAATATTCAAACTAAGATGTTGAATTATCAAGTAGAAATAACGAAATATTCGAACTAAGATTTTGAATTATCAAGTAACAAAATTCAAATTATCATCACAATTTACAATGCAAGACAACAAATTTCAATAAAAAATAAAATTTATGATAAAAAATAAATCATTTTCTTTCACTATTATAATCTACCTAAAATAATGAATGTTCGCACAATTACATCTATCAACAGACCNCAATAAAAAATAAAATTCATGATAAAAAATAAATCATTTTCTTTCACTATTATAATCTACCTAAAATAATGAATGTTCACACAATTACATCTATCAACAGACGTAACCACACCCCATAAACAATAACAAAAAGTAAGTTTTTTTTATACATACCATGTAATGGTTGTTAAGAATGGGCACCCCACTTAAATCTATCAATATTTTGCAATTAAAACAAACTCATACCCCGCTGGCCGTTGGCAATTATAATCACAGTGAGAATACGAATTGGAATGGTATAAGTGAGATAAATGTTCTAGCAAACTAAGAAAACAAAGAACAAATAAAAATCAACAGCAGCATGAACCCCATAAACATTAAAAGGAAAGAAACTCAAAAAAGAACAAATATTTAGGGTGTTGAATGGAGACCAATAGATGAAATTGGAAAAAATGTGTTGGTCCAAACCAATTACTTTCCAGTTACAGCAGTAACACCTGAGGCTCGAAAGGACACATGAACTGTATTCATCCAAAAAAATCCTATCAAACCCATCATTCGAGCTCTGGGAAATTTTGTCGAACATGTGAGATACGCTATAGTAGTTGTGGTTAATTGAACCCTGCGACTCTGTGTCAAACCGAATTCACATCAAACCAAAACTAATGGCTAGTGGAGACCCACTTTGGTGTGGTGGTGTGGCTGGACAGAGAGGGAGAGACGAATGAGGAGGAAAGCGACCGTTAGGGTTAAGGAGATTTGGGGAATATATGGGACGCGAATTTGGAAACAGAGAGAGAGGCGTAAGATTGAGAATTTGGGAGATTGGTGGGAAGAGAGAGGGCTGAGATTTGAGCGGGAATTGTGTCGTTGGGTTTTTGATGGAGGCTACCGAATTTTTCCAATTTAAAATCATAAAAAATAGAAGGTGATTCTACGCGTTGTGATTTTTTTTTTAAAGTAACATTTATAATAGAGACAATTACGTCTAGACTCCTAAGGTTCGTCACTTAATAATTTAGACCCCTTAAATCCCTATCGTTAATATCCGTTAGTATATCTGTTAATAAATTACACCTAAATTCCTTGATTTTTATAGGTGTGTAACACTTAAACCCTTCAAGTTTAAAATATTATATTTAGACTACTTATTAGTTACAGAACTAACGAAATCTATTAAACGACTATATTACTCCAATTAAAGATGGAATACATTTTGTCCATTATGGTTTGACCCCTTATTTGATTTTTTTTTTGTTTTATACTAATAGATAATATAATTATATACTAATTATGATTTTTGTAAGAAAAAATTAGATTTTGACTTTTGATTTTTATTTCAATAAATGATATAATAGAATATGAATTTTGGTTATAAAATTTAAAATATTTGATATTTTATCTTTAATTAAAGTATTTTTTTTATCTAAATATAATATTTTAAACTCTAGAGGTCTAAATATTATATACCTAAAAATTTTAGGGGGGTTGAGTATAATTTGACATTTGATGACAAATGTCTAAGTATTATGCATGTACAAACTTTGAGGGCTTTATATGTAATATTTTAAATATTAAGGGTCTAAATAATTAAATAACAAACTTGAGGAGGCCTAAGTATAATTCTCCATTTATAATAAAGGATTAAATACAAATTAGCCCTTATACTTGGAGGGGGTAGTGAAGTATCCCTCTACTTTTAAAAAATTATAGAACGAAAATATCATAATTTAATAAAAAATAATTTTTTTTGCACAAATATGTAAAAAATTATTATAACTTGAACTATGTTTAGTCCCAAAATGACAATTATAATTTATAGAATTAATTGCAAAAATACTCTGATACTTAAAAGATGAAAACAAATGACCCACTTAACTTTAAATTTTTGCACTAAAATTTTTTGAACTCATGACCAAATTGCAAAAGTGAATGTCTGTCATATAACTTGTAAAAATACCAAAATATTCTTATTATTATATTCAATGTTCATATAAATATCATCCCTTAACTAAACATCTACCCACTTCTCCCTCTCCCATTTGGGTAATTTTTTTCTCTCCATCCCTTCTCCTTTTTGGCACAACCATTGATCCCACCTCCCAACCATTGATCCCACCTCCCACGCCCAAGTCTCTTTCTTTCCTTTCTCTTTGTATTTTTTTCTATTCTCTCCACCCAATTCTTATTATTATTTTTTTTGAAAAGTGTTCTCCTTTTTTTTCCTTCTAGCATGACTCACCACTCAACTTACAAGTTGTGTACACATAACCACACATGGCCCATATGTATCTCTATTTGGCTGCTACCTCTACCTTCTTATTATTGTTTTTTGTTTATAATACTTATTTATTACAACACTTGCAAGTTATTTTTGCCAAAGACTACCTCCATTGGTCTTGCAAAAATGACTTTCTGGTGGACAAATTGTAGATGTTGGTCTTACTCGATTTATTCTGCATAAGCATACAACATAAAAAGTTGTTCCAATTTACTTAGAATACAAAACGGTCGCGTATTCGCTAATTATTCACCTTGAGAAATATTCTCCAAATGATAGTTTTAGCCCAAAGTAACGTGAAAAAGAGCAGTTTTAGACCGCATGGTGAAAAAGAGTAGTTTTAGCCCGAAGCAAGGTGAAAAAGAAAAGTGCACAATACATAAGACATAAGTTTAACTGAGAACTGATGCTTGGGCCCTGTATAAGGGAACATCACTCACCGACTCTGCAGCATTGTTTCGAATGACTGAATCAAAAAATCCGCATCCAACACTGGTGACACTAATAGGACGCCCATACTGGCTTCACTGGTTCTGTCTTGAGAAGTGGCAGGGTTAAAAGGGAACTGGACTGAAATAAACCAAGCTTCTCTAGGAGTTTCATGATTAGGTTGCCTACCGCAAAGGAAACAGCCGAGACTCCAAACCCTATCATAACATAGTATACTACTGTTGTTATATAAGACTTGGGAGGCCTCTGAACATAAACCTTTCCAATGCTAAGTAGGATGATGCATAGAAGTGAAGCCGCTGCTACTGCCACAAGCTTGAGATCTCTATCATCACTCCTCCGAAATGAGAAGCCATAGATGACAGGAGGCAGTAGGCCAACAATGAGGAATGATAACACGGCAGCAGTTGCATGAAGTAAGAAATTCTGTCTCCGTCCCAGTAGTTCCTGGTACTGATCAACTTGCTCTGTTTCTTGATTGGAGGCCCCTCCAGATTGATATTTTTTTAGTTCCCAAAGCTGTAAGCTAACATGTTAGTTTAAGATGCAAATAACTCGAGTAAATGCAAAAGAAACATGTTCTATAATGCATATTCCACATCCTTCTCATATGTATCACTGTTATGGTCCTGAGTTGGATTAGTTTGAATATTAGTATCCTTCAAAAGTTCTCATGCATTGATTTTTCATGTATGCCAATGAATACAATTCTACCCGACAGACACAACATTCAACATCAACTCTATTCAGTAACAGTAGCTTTCAAGGAGAAACAAGAGCAAAAGAAGGCCAGAAAGAACGAAAGAAAACACCACTAGCTAGTTGCTTTTCTATCATTTTAGATATTCTGCAAGAGGCATTTTTTTGGGGAATATAGCAGCGTTGGAAGGAAGACTGTATTAGCACAAAATCATTAGAGAGTTCAAAATATTACATTTCCACAGATTACTTATATTTTCCCTGAACGGGTCCAATGATACTATAACCAAGAGTGATAAGGATGACACCTTGGTTACAAGTGTGTCAGTTAACCAGTTTATGATACAAACAAACTAGAAACAATTGCAATTGGAGGAGACCATGCCAGCACACTCTCCAGATACTTGGATCCAAATAATGTCCCTGTTGTAACAGAGTGTATTGTTAGTTCTAAACCATCCGAGTTGGTGGCCTCCCTCTCATTTGCTTAAGCCAAAAATCTTAAAATTTCAGTGGTTGTTACGACTCATTTGCCATGAATTCTTTTTTATTTATTAGAGTTCTGAATTACATCAAGTTGATGATACAAAATAAATTTGTGTTACGTGAGTTCTACAACACAAGAACATGATTCAGCATCTAATCAACACATGAAATGGTACCAAACCAACAAAGCACGATCATCTGAACGAGACGAGTCTTATATACACATATTTCTAAAATTTGAAAGGTTTTCAGATAGGGATATTTTTGGGAGTCATATACTTGTTGCCAACAAGCACCAGTTTTGCGGTACAGAACACATGCTGATTACCGAAAGGAGTTGAAGTGGAAATTTACTCACATCGTGACCCATTACAAAAAGTCCTCCAATCAGATTTGCTAATCCCAAAGCTAAAATATTCACTGCAATACCATACAAACACAATCAATGACCAATATACGCACAAACTTTTGGGACTCAAAATAAATTGGTAGTTGATAAAACAGTAAAAGTTAAACAAAGTTGTAACACAAAAAATGCAGGAAGAAATTATACAAAAATCCCAGAAGTGATTTAGATTTTACTGAAGCTCCTACATTAGAAAATAGGTACCATACCATTTAGAGTAGAGGAGGTTAGGCAGAAGTTTCCTTATTCTCATCATACTCATCAGGAACAAAGAAACAACACATGATTTTGGACCAAGATGAAAGTTATACTAAACATACCGAAATAAGTGGGTAAGATTACTTTTTCACTGGGCAATATATCATCATTATTGTCATTTATACCATGTATTATAAATGTCAGCTAATGTTGGCCTGCAAGCATTATGCTGTTTTAAGTTAAAATCCATAATTTAAAAACAAAGGGCCAACATAACATCCCTCTTATTACAAAATTAAATCCTTGCTGTAGAAACTCACGCAAGATAATCTAACATGGAGCCTTCAGTGATTCACACACATTTACCAATTATTGCTTCAATTCAACTAGTGTAAAAATTAGGATTTGTTTTCTTAGCTGAAAAAGAGGCCTACATAAAGCAACATAGAAAGAAGCCGATAGTCACCTTTTATACAAAGCACAACATTAATCATTTACAACTACCTACCAAATGACGCAAAGCCAAGAAAATTAGTAGTACTTATTCACACAAATCTTTGACAAGTAGTGTTAGAGTAAGCACTTACAACAAGAAAAAATACCCTACAACACACTTACATGTGGCCGCATCACCAGCAGCAGCAGATGACACGACTCCAAGGCTTGTAATTGATTCGATTAATCCCCCGTATACAATGCTTTTAATTATTTCCACTCCATGAACTTCTCTAGCTGTGGAGCTTACTCTCCCCACATGAAGTTGAGTTGTAGTATGTGGTGTATGCCCTGTTTTTGGTGAATTGCCAATATTTTCTGCTCTTTGAGTAGCTGTTGATTCAATTGGGCCTTCTTCTACAATTATTACTGTTTCCTTGCCTGTATTAGATTACAACAGAACAGTCGTTTGATATGTATTTTTCAGTAGGAAAGAAATATACAAATGAGCTGTAATTATGCATTGTTACAATAACAACCATCAATGTGAAAGCAGAATTAATTACATGAAAATGCAAAAATGGAAAAGAGAAGATTATTTTGGGGACATAAAATCATTTAAGTCACGAATTGGCACAAACCATATGCGTCAAACTAAAGCCTTTCAACAAATTTTACTAACATTTCATGCATTTGCAATTGATTCTCTAGCTCAATTCTGCATAATAAGAATTATGTATTTGTTTGTGTGTGTGTAAGGCTCACGTGTGTAGGCGCATGTGTAAAAGTCTTAATTTGTTTTGACATTGAATATAGGGTACTACACAAGTCAATAAACTTCAATATCTAGAGCAAATTTTAACATACAAATTACAGTTGCATATCTGCCCCTCAAATCAATGTAGATCGTGCAACTCATAAGATGCATAACCCCACTCAAGGAGCCTAGCTCAGCCAGAAATCCGAGAGTAGGTACCATAAAATTCCAATGCTTGTTCACAAATTGCACATAAGCATTGGTATCCTGCCCTCCCGCCCTTTACATATGCCTGGGCATCCTTCCCTCCCTACCACCCTTTTTCTTTCTCTCTCTATGTGAGTGTGAACTTCCTTTAAACAGCATGATTTACATCAGGCAATAAACAAAAAACACATGTAGGACGTAAACTTCCCCTTGCTGAGCATGAGGAATCTCACCACAACAGGATTCCTGTTATTCTGATAAGCAGATTTTTGGTTCATACACAACCAGGCAGGCAATTGTTAACTAATATGAGCATACTTAAAAGAGAGTGGCAAAAGAATTTATGAATATTTTCTACGGCTGGAGGTGGCTCCTGCCCAAAAAACATCAACTAATAAAGGTTTCTTGCTCACCATTCAGATTACAAAATTGGTAGTCTCAGTTAAAATAGCTGTATTCCTAATTTCTGGAGAATAAGATTTTGGATCGCCCTAGCAACATTATTATAAAACTTCGTAATTCTTACTTTACTGCTTTTAGCATGGTTAACTTGATTGTCTTGAATCAACAAAGCATCCTGTCCTAATGAAATCAGAACATTCCTATCAATTTTAAAGTGGTCCTCTGTAGGGATGTCCACTTTGGTTCCAGTGATGGCATGCTGAGAAACTTTGGAGTGATAGGCTCCATCTGTAAATGTAAACGTAACTTTATCTTCTCACAGAAAAGCCATGTTAAATTTATTAGAAGATTGGAATCAATTCAGCAGAAATAGGAAATTCCCAAACAGCAGGGACTTTAGAACACAAGTGCACGAGAATGTGACACAGTAATGATGAGCGAATACAAAGAAAAGCACAGAGCATGAAGTTCAGATGAAATAATGAAACTAGATCTCCAGTTCTGAAGTAAGAAAAAACTGCACCCGGGTTTAGGTTGGTCTCTTTAGATACTTTTAAATGACTAACTAATTTGAATTTACATCGTTCTTTAACCACTAACATTTTTAACAAAGCCAAAAATCAGGACAAACTCAAATTTCATTTACATACCAAGATAGACTACACAATAAGCATGTAACACCATCATGCTTAGCAGTGCCTTCAAGCTCTAGCCTTGTTCCAAGCAATATCAGTTTTACCATGCCAATCTAAATCTTTTCTTACCCGACTCTGACATATCAATTATATACAAATGTTCCCCAAGTACCACAGTTTCGGCTAAATGCGAATTACTAAGATCATATCTGAAGAGGAAATCACTCAAGAAGTTTACATCAATCCTAATCTTAATAGCCTCAATCAAACCACCTTCACAATAAATTACAACATCTGATGTATGAAAGTCTGGATTGCAATAAGGTATAATGTGCAAACCTTTGCAAAGGTGGCACATGAAATCAGGAGTTTCACACTCAAAATAGTTGAAGCCAATTGAATTGACCAGAGAACTGCAGATGGAGGTGGTTTTAAGGCATAAGCAATACGATATAGTATCACCTGCATACCTTTATGAGTACTTTTGAATATTGCATCTTCATCTTGTATTGCACGTTCAGTAAGAAGTGTGACCCCAACATTTTTATCATTTTTAAGTGGAATATCTGCTGAAATGCTCACTTTCACATTCATATCTGATCCTTCAAGTACAGCAACCGGTGTTTGCAATGCAAAAATAGTCTCCTTGTCTGCAATGCAAAATCAATATAGTCACTACTCAACTGGAAATCCTATCGCAGGCATGACCCTTGAATATTTCATAACAACATTGTAACATCTTCAACAGTAAAGTTTGGTTACATAAGCATTACACCAAAGAACAATCATCAAATAACCAAAACACCACCTCCACTATCCATGAATGGAATCTTTAAAGGTAAGCTACTGCTTCACGAAAGTGTTGATTTAGCAAGAATTTTAAGTACCATGACCAAAATTATTTGCACATGTAGCCTCTATGAAGGAAGGTTGGTATGCCTATATTATTGTCACCATTGAAAGTGAGACTTATACCTGCACTTTTCGTTTCTGTAGACACCTCGTTTTTTTGTTCTATTGGCAATTTCTCACGAACTGAAGAATCCACAACTGAAGGAATCAGTAGCTTTAGTCCATCCTGTTGAGGTATCAACATAGCATTTTCTGTAGATTCTCCATTATTAACTGGGGTTCTACCAGCAAGTGTTGTCGATGGTTGACCACTTCCATGATTGAGTAGCACTTCATCAGAAATGCTTGATGCGTCCAATTTATCAACAGCGTTTACAGCTCCTCCTGCACCAAATTGATAAGCAAAACAGGCACTGTTGTGTCAGGAACGATAACAATTTCTGACATTATACAGTAAATATTTTCACATTGACATACTTCCAGAATTATTAAAAAAAAAAAAGACACCAAGAATGAGGAGCTTCATGTTTTTAAAACAAAATATGGGGAATCAGAATTAGAGTGAAATTGTCAAAAGACACATCCAAACATAACAAATATACATACGNCTTCATGTTTTTAAAACAAAATATAGGGAAGCAGAATTAGAGTGAAATTGTCAGAAGACACATCCGAACATAACAAATATACATACGGCATACATATAGATAGGAGCATGTTAGCGTCATAATTATTTGATCTCATGATATTCAGTTAGGAAAAAGAAGAAAGAAAAAAGGACAAGAAAAACAGCTATGTGAATATGGCATGCCTAGTAAATGAAATATCACAGCACAATCAAAGAAATCAAGCAATGCTAGATGCAGTAGCACGTAGTGCCAGGATGAAGTGCATACATTAGTTTGGTGAAGACTTTATAATATTGTACATCTTACAAACTTACAAAGTATATTTCCACTTTTGCCCTTTACAATCATAAATGGAATATCTTTCCAATACCTGTGTTCATTTTCACTGCATCATCTAACTTCTCTCCCTCATCGACCACCACTTTTCCAAGCTCTGTGGGTCCTTGAGATGAAGGAGGTAAAATTTCATCTCTACTTTCATAATGTTTAGTGGATCTTTCCACCAGTGCCTCAACAATTATCAAGTGAGCAGTTGAGGGAGCTTCTGGTACTAATGACGCTTGACCATTCTGGCCATTCAAATTAGAAGAAGGAATATGTGCACCAACATTGTTTTCTCCCTCATTGGCCCCAAGACCACTTCCTGCATCAGCACTTTAGCAATTAGTTCTGATATTTCTTTTTCCTCCTAGTAGATAACATGAATGCTTGAATGCATTAACGGGTACATAGACTGTAGAAGTGCGTTACCTTGATCCATCAACATTTTCCTCTTGTCTGATGTGAAAACAGAGGGAAACCAGTTTTTGCTCTTTGTCAGTATCTGTTGAGAGTCTTGCACACTCTTCTTGTCACTTTTATCTCCAAATATCCTGAAAAGTTTGAAGCCACTCCCTGCAATATTCAACATATGATACGAATTTTCGGTGTGTAGTATGAATCGAAATATAGATCATCAAAGAAGAAAAGAACTGGGAACGCTATGCTGCAACGGCATCTGCATGCCAAAAAAATAGGACAATAATTTTCAAGCTGAGGTGCCTATTAGCAACACATAACATTCCTAAACACATGGCAACGGTCTTAAAATTTGTATTTCTCATTTGTGAACTCAGCATTATGCCTATCTGAACTATCAGCAAGAGTAGCAATTTCATTGGTGTGGGAAAACTGTATCTAACAGAACTCAGATTCTTCTCAAGCATAACATCAGAAAATCAATCTTTAGAATCAACTTTTGTAATTCGAGTTAAGAGCAAAAAGAAAGATATTGATATGCACATGTGCAGCTTCATTGAAAAACATCAAATGAACAACATTGATTACGCTTCTGAGTCAAACATTTTGCTTAAGCTTCATAACAAGGTTACTTGTTTAGCAGGAAATGAAAGGTAGATATAATTCAATATGAACAAGTTTACACTGCTGAAGCAGATGTATACCTGCGGGGATGAAAAAACTAAAGCATGATAAGCATCTGAATATCTCTGGCTCTCTGTCAGGGCCAGGGTCATTCGCTGCAGGTGTCAGGCTTCCATCCAAACAAACATCAACTGCATTAAGACCTTGATTATTGGCTGCATGTGCAGAAATATCTTCCACTCGAGCGTTCGATGCGGTTTCCAACTTGTTACGCTTTGTGTCCTCACTAGAAATTCGAAGTTTGCGTTTTCTTTTACGAAGAATAACCCTTCGGGTAATACAAGAATTACAATTAGGACAGTACAGGTCATGTGTATTCTGCTTCTCGAGTACTCTCTCAACATCTAATTCTGATACTTCCAGGTCACTCTCTTCTATGAGGTTGCCATCTGAAATGCTTATTGCTTTATTGTCAGAAGACTCGTAACTTGTTTTATGCTCTTCAGGTGAAATTTCAGAAGGCCAAAGACTGGAAGCAGACAAGACATCATCCTTCGGACTTTCCTCATGTTTACCATTAATCACAATGCTCAAACTCTTTTGGATACTACAATTCTGCACAGTGACATTCAATCTGTCGTCTCCAGGATTTTGCTCAGGACCAGAATATTCATCACTGAATCTGCTTCCTGCAATAATATAATAAAAATTGGCCATCAAACTGTTTGGTTTCAAAAGTAGATGTAGCTAAGCTCCCATAACCTGAACCAAACATTGATGGCATTGCCAAAAGAAGAGCTACTATTCACCCTGCATCCAAATGAGCTGGTTCATGTCTCAGCCAAGTTCAAAAACTAAAAATAAAAAGTGAAACATGGGGAAATAAACAACATACCAGTGAAGAACATTGTAGAAGTAAAGCCATCCTAATGACAGACTACTACTACTACATCTAGGACTTACTTCCACAGCCACTATCTTTATGCACACAGAGAGAGTAACATCATATTACATTGGACGACTGAACCAAATAAATAGCACCTTATCGCTTTCGCATGAATATTCTTTTGCTTCCACTTTTTTAAAAGCAACCAAGAGCTTTGGTGTGAACGTTCTTATGAAAGGAAATGTTTTACCAGACGGGTGCAACTTTTACTAATTACAAGCATATTTGGTTTTCTAGGAATCAAGGTATTTACTGACCTTCAGTTTTATAAATGAAACATGGCTTCCGTTGATTTACATTTTTGTCATTCATCAGCATATGCAAGTGCCCTTTAAGATTCTGACTATGATCAATACATACACTTCCACTTTGGTAGGTCCAACAGCAGATTCGACATTTCCAAATTCCTTCAGTCACAAAAAAAAGGTGATTGCAATTTAAATAGTTGCCAGTGTGATGCTTCAGGAATGAAAGGAATAGGTCAGACTGACTGGTCTGCAATACAAGGAAAATTTATTCCACTGATCTATGTTCTCTGAGCAGATAATTTTTTTGGTCAAAATCTGGTAATCGAATCAAACATGAACACAAGATTTAGCAATGGAATATAGAACAGATCCACCATCTGGAAAGAATGCAGTTACTGCAGTGAGCCAATGACAATGAAGTGTAACATTTGGTGCCTAGAAGGATCTCATGACCTGTTCAATAACTGCAAGCTAAGGAACCCCTTCAGTGATCACCTCATCTTCTTCAGCAGGAAGATGTAAATGCATCTCTAGGCTATGCGCACTTCTAAAAATAATCAATAGAAAATATTAGATTTTAAATTACTTCTTGCACTTTCAAAAGCTGGAATCTNCATCTTCTTCAGCAGGAAGATGTAAATGCATCTCTAGGCTATGCGCACTTCTAAAAAAAATAATCAATAGAAAATATTAGATTTTAAATTACTTCTTGCACTTTCAAAAGCTGGAATCCTCCAACAGAATTTAGTTTCCAGCGAAGACATCAGTCTCATGAAAGTACAGTGATATAAGTCGGCTAAATTTGTGGTAGTCATCAGGTTATCATTCACAGGAAGTATAGGAGTAAAGTAAGGAAATGCATAAACACACGTCTCTTAAAATGTTTAACAGGAAGAAAATGCACATTCACCAAACGACAACACTATGAGCAGCTAATAGCAACAAAGAGATCATTTTAAAGGTTTGTGAAAGTAGAAAAAGAAAAATACTAGCCTAAAAAGCTAATGATAGATAAAGAAGGTAACAGGTTGCATCCTATTTTACAGATTATCTGTAATAGGCGAGAGAGATCTCAAGATCTAGATTTAGTGGCTAAGCAATAGTCACTCATCACACCCAAGTCACAAACTAATCCCTATCACTAGAATCTACCAGAGTTCACATCCGGTCACTCCTTGAATAGGGTGACTACAAGTTTGAGAATGAGCTGTGGATTCTTAAATTCCATGATAGAATATGGATAAACTTACCAATATTAGTGTTGAGAGAAGCTGCTTTCACTGAGAATGTACGTTAATGCTCTTGAACAATCATTAGGTCAAAGAATGGCACATAATCAGAGTTTGACAACCAATTTGAACCAACCCTCTAACATTGAAATTATAAAAATCGATTCATTCATTCCCAAATCCAGATACACCAGAGATGAACTTGGATACATATATTGTCTAGTGAGGAAGAAGAGGAAAGATAATGAGGAGAAAGGGACAGAGGGTTCCGGAATCGGGACCCTCCATTTCTTCCGACAGGTAGGGTAAAAGGGCAAAAGTGATGGGGTTAAGGGAGCATTTCCGTACTTTGAACTTGTATCGTTGTTGAAAAAGTCAACTAGAAAGAAAGACGTAAAAATCGGCGGCGAAATTGCAAGTAGAAATTAGTAGTAGAAGATACTTGTATTACCTTCGTCTTCGTCGTAGTAAACGCATTTTTCGGGCCCATTTTCTTTGCCTATTCCGTTATCGGCATTACTGATTGCAGTACCATTGTTGGTATTTTGAAGCTCCTCTGGTCCTTCTTCTTCTTGACTGAGACTTGATTCTTCATTTCCACTGTAAGACTCCAATGAGGGTGTTTCATCTCCATTTTTATCGCCATTAAGATACCTTGAAACAGTAGTAATCGTAGGTGTTTCATCCCCATTTTTATCGCCATTAAGATAACTTGAAACAGTAGTAATCGTGGTACTAGTTGTTGTTTTGATGCCATGTCGAGGCGGCCTTCCTCGCAAAGTCTCCTCTTCCTCTACTTTTCTCTCCTCTTCCTCTACTTTCTCCATTGCCGTACTAAGATAGGTCTCTTTCTGTGTATATCTCTATCTGCTGCTCATTGGTGTTTCACGAAGAGATATATTGTTGTGGTGGGTACTGGGTAGGTGTGTATCATTAATAACTCAGACCAGAAAAAAATAATTTTTAAGGATTGAGGTGTGTATCATTCGACTGAGGATGCATAAGGGCGGTGGTTGGTGGTGGGGATACCCCTCACTGCGTCTTGTTATCAAATGGGAAGGAAGTGCAGATTTGAGATTAGCAACCAAATTAGGAGTAAAATATGTTGAAAGCCGCAAAAATGGAGAACCTTATCGCCTTATCTTCAGAAGCACAGACCTTTCTACTTCAGGTAAGCAATGAATAATGGTGTTCAACCACCATGAACTTGCATCGTTAACCAGCTATATTTTATATCTTTCTAGCAACTATTAAGTCAGTCAGAACTTGGGCATGAAGCATCGTCGTTATCTCAAAAATAATAGCTTTTCTTTCTCTCTCTCTTGTGATTGCAAAGAGCTGGAAAAAAAAAACATAAACCAGAATGAAAGACAAATATATTTTCAAAATATTATATTTTTTTTAATAATATTCGAGTTAATTTATGCGCACACTAATTAATTTTTTTATGTGATAATTATTAATTATAATATTAGATAAATACGTAAAAAAATATATTATGGGAATTGTAGCTGAGAAAGAGGCAAGCAAGTTGCCTTCCACAACCCCACGCAAACCCCCTACTATTGTATGAGTTAAAAGCATGCTTCACATGGTTGACAGACCAATAAATCCATCATTAATGTGCCACCTAATTCAGTTGAAAAGTCGTCTAAGTCAACAGATCTGGTTTTCTTTTGTATATTATTGTGTGCATTGTTCACATTATGCAGCAATAATGAACATAAGTTAAAACACAGAATAAGAAAAGTCTACTTCAGAATGGATGTCGTTTGTTTACCATTACTTTAAAGGACTAATGTCACTTTCCACTTTAGAAATATACTTTAATTAGAAATTATTTACGGTACAATGTGAATAATTTCAAGAGAGATGTTGTTGGTCATTAGATGAGTTTATTTAAAATTATTGGATAAATTTATTTAAGACGGTTGAATAGACTTATTGAAACCTATCTTATTTTATATTATAGATTCTCAATTTACACTTTTAATTTTATAAATTGTTAGTAATATGAACATTGTCTTGACTATCGTTCAGTTTTTCATCATACTTCGACCACCCAGATAAATTTCTTGAATATCTAATAGATTTTTTATTCTCACTCAATTCCTTATTTTAAAGAGTTAAATTTTAAAATTTTATCTCTAATTAAACCCTCTAAAATAAAGAGTTTAATTTGACTCTCTATATTTAGAAAATCAAATTCATTGTCCACTCTATTTTTTTAATAATATATTTATTTTTTGGTCTAAAACATTTAGAATAAATGTATCTCATTCTTTTCATTCAAACCAATCTCTTTCCTTCATTTGAAACTCTAAATGATATTACACCAAAGAAGTTGNTAAATGTATCTCATTCTTTTCATTCAAACCAATCTCTTTCCTTCATTTGAAACTCTAAATGATATTACACCAAAGAAGTTGATTCTGATCAAACTACACAAGCACAATATCAAAATAAAAATATTAAATTAATTGCTTCAAGTTGTATCTCTTCGTGCTTGATACTCCATCGATACTAATTTTATTATTGAAAAAAAACATCAGAATGCAAAGGTACTTAAATGAAGAGAAAAAAAAATTGAGAGCTATGCCGAAGTCGCTCAAGGTTTGGACGAGTTGTTTCCTTCATTTGTATTTTTTATTTTTTATGTATCAAAATTCAATGTGTGTGAATTAAAATTTAATAGGTTCGAATAGAATTTTAATCGATTTAAATTTTAATATATTAAAAAATATATAATATTTAATTGACTTAAATTGTAATACGTAAAAAATAAATTTTAATACATAAAAAAATTTAGAAAAACAGAAGGGCACTATTAAAGATATGTCTATATAGAAGGAGTGTGGATGAAGTTTTTTCAAAATATATCATGTCTAATTTAATAAAATTATATTTTAATTAACACCTTTAATCTGACAGAGGTAAGTAAAATTCAAAAAATAGAAAAGATGTTTTTGAATATATAATAAATTAGATACGGTGTAGTTAAAATTTTCTCTAACTTTTTTATATTNATCTATCAAAATTCAATGTGTGTGAATTAAAATTTAATAGGTTCGAATAGAATTTTAATCGATTTAAATTTTAATATATTAAAAAATATATAATTTTTAATTGACTTAAATTTTAATACGTAAAAAATAAATTTTAATACATAAAAAAATTTAGAAAAACAGAAGGGCACTATTAAAGATATGTCTATATAGAAGGGGTGTGGATGAAGTTTTTTCAAAATATATCATGTCTAATTTAATAAAATTATATTTTAATTAACACCTTTAATCTAACGGAGGTAAGTAAAATTCAAAAAATAGAAAAGATGTTTTTGAATATATGATAAATTAGATACGGTGTAGTTAAAATTTTCTCTAACTTTTTTATATCAGAGATACTTTTTGTTTTTTAAAAAAATACCTTAATCAGTCATGGACAAGGATAAGGTTGTGGAAGTGGGTGCAATTGCATGGTATGGTATGGGTAGCCACTCATTCCTGATCCTGACGGCATCTCAGGGGGTTTTTTTTTTTTTTTTTTTTTTTGTGCCACTATTTTGAATTTTTATATGGAAGGAGGCTGTGATTTTTGAACCCGCAAGTGAACGATTTAACGACAAGTTGTGGTTGGCCTAATCGCATCTGACAGAGTTTACTCAAGACTTTGTCGGCTCCAAAGCATGACTACTGAAATGAGTAATGTTACGTAGAGAATGACGAAAATAATCGGCGGCGAAAAGAAAACTACAAAGAAAGAGAAAAATCGGCGACGAAATTGCAAGTAGAAAGTGGTAGAAGATAGTTTAATACCTTCGTATTCGTTGTAGTAAACGCATTTTTCGGGGTAATTTTCTTTGCCTATTCCGTTATCGCCATTACCAGTTGCAGTAGCATTGTTGCTATTTCGAAGCTCCTCTGGTCCTTCTTCTTCTTCTTCTTCTTGACTGAGACTTGATTCTTCATTTCCATTGTAAGACTCCAAAGAGGATGTTTCATCTCCATTGTTCTGACCATTAAGATCACTTGAAACAGTAGTAATCATAGTAGTAGTTGTTGTTTTGGTGCCAGATCGAGGTGGCCTTTCTCGCAAAGTGTCCTCTTCCTCTACCTTTCCCATTGCCGTACTAAGATAGCTCGCTCGCTCTCTCTCTCTCTCTGACCAGAAAAAACAATTTTTAAGGATTGAGGTCACGTGTATCATGCTTAAGGATTATGTATAGGGATGTCAATTCAATCGGGCTAAACAGTTATCTATCGCATTAAATAGTTAAAAAATATATAAATTTATACACGATATATTTAATAAATAGATAAAAATTTTAACACAAATATGACATGTTTAATAAACAGGTAACACGATATGACTGGTTTAACCCGTCTAATTTAAAAAAAATTATATCAACAAATTTTAATATTTTATTACTTTTTTACTATCAATTGCACTAACTTCAAAAAGAGAAATTTCTAATTAAATCTCATAAAAATAACACTTGAAAACTTAAAAAAAAAAAAACAACAGGTTATTGTCTTTTATAAGCAACTCAGCTCTTTCCATCTCCCCTCATTTTCTAATATGGGACAAAAACAAAAGACATTGGTTTGTCTTTGTCTTTGAAATGTTTCATATCTCATTTCCTTTGTCCTTGAACTATTACTTTACTTCTACTTTTTTTATTAGTTTTTTTATTTTTTTTTCTTGTTAAGTTTTTTAAATAATTATTAATTTTATTTAAACGAATAAACGTGTGATAAATGGTTTGACAAATCTCACCCGAACACGACCTATTTATTAAACGTGTTTAACGTGTCAATCTTTTTATCACCCAAATCCGTATAATTCATATCGATTAATCGTGTTGTATCCAATTTTGACAATCCTAATTATGTGTACACGTAGATACACAAAAGTTATACTATTGGGTGTAACATATCTCGTGCTGAGTGGCTGACAAAGAGGCACCAAGTAGCCTTCCACTACCCCACTACTACTACCGTACCCTATTTCTATGAGTTAAATATACACTAATACTATTGAGATATAATTTTGGGGACATAATGAGTTGTCATTAATAAAATGATAGTAAAATATATTTAATGATGAGTCCTATTATAGCATTAATATATTTATTATCATATTATTAATGACAACTCAATATGTCTATAAATTATATCTCAATAGTATTGCTCTTAAATATATGTTTCTCATGGTTGCCTAACCAATAAATCCATCGTTAATGTGCCACCTAATTCAGTTGGGAAGTCGTCAAAGTATAAGAGTCGGACAAAGTCTGCTTTAATTGTTTCATTTACTTCTAGAATGATTTGTTCTCTCTTTGAGGAGTAGGGTAGGGGTGGCCACCTTGGAAAATTTAAGGGTTTTGGGTCAATATTTTGGCCGGCCACACTTAAACCAGAACTGGCCCATCTTTTCTTGGGCCAATCAACCAAACTGAAAATAAATTATGGCTTCTTCTCGACTGGCTTTCCACAAAAACAAATCCAGGTATCTCAGTCGTCATGGACAAGGTTGTGAAAGTGGGTAAGGTATGGGCAGCCACTCAATCCTGATCCTAACAGCATCCGGAAAAAAAGTACATCTATATAATAAAATAATATATAATTCAAATATTTAAAGATGAATAAAATAATTTTAAAGACTATTTGCAATTAAGATCGTTTTAAATTTTACTTTAAAGTTAATCTAACGGTTAATATTAACATCCTATATTTAATAAAAAAAATAGGATCCTAAAAGTGTGTTTAGAGCAATTTTTTAAAATTATTTCTTATAAATAATTTTAAAAAAAAATAATATTTGAAACCGCCCACTACTACCTCTACCACCACCACCCCCACCACTACCTCTACCACCACCACCCCCACCACTACCTCTACCACCACCACGGCCACCGTCGCCACCACCACCACCGTCACCATGGCCACCACCATTGCCACCGTCACCGCCACCGCCACCTCCACCTCCACCACTATCGCCGCAACCGCCACCATCGTTGTCGCCCCTCACCTCCCCACCACCATCATCGCTATTGTCGTCATCGCCGTCACCACCATCGCTATCACAGTCATTGTCACCCACCACAACCATCACCGTCTCTTACCACCACCGCTACCGCCCACCACATTTCACCCCCACTACAAAAACGATACTTAAATTATTTTATTTCTTCTCTATGTTTGTGATTTGATTTTGGATATGAATACAAATATATTTATTATTTATAATTTTTTATTACTCTGTGCCTTCAGTCACAGACAATAACTAGTTTTTTAATATATATGTATACATATTTATATAATAAATCAATTAGCAAGTTGAATTTTTATCTCTTACATATTTTTCCTTTTAAAAACATCACATCACTCATTTATATCATATATTTAATCATTTTAATATTTAATTAATTTATAGTTAATATAATTTTTATTTCAATCATTATTAAAATACGATAATATACAAATATTGAAAAAATTTAATATAGTGGAATTGATTTTTTTGGCACTTGAATTTTATATTTTATCATGCCTTCAGGCACGGGTTATGACTAGTTTATATAATAAATCAGCGAGCAAGTTGAATTTTTATCTTTTGCATATTTTTCTCCCAAAAAATATCACATCATCCGATTTTATCACATATTCAATAATTTAATATTTAGTTAATTTGTAATTTAACACAATTTTTATTTCATACATTTTTCATATACGATAGTGTACATCAATTAGTTAGTTGAATTTTTATCTCCTATACATTTTCCCCCCAAAAAATATCACATAATTTAATTCTATCACATGTTCAATCATTTAATATATAGTTAATTTATAGTTTAACACAACTTTTATTTCATATATTATTCATACACAATAGTGTACATATATTGAAAAAAATTTATCGAGTTACGCATTTTTAAAAAAAAAATTGAAGCTATTTTTAAGAAAATAATAGGTAGAAATTAATTTTAAATGATGTAAGTAAAAAAAAATAATTTTAAATTTGGTATGGTAAAATTAAGTTTTTGAACGCTAAAATCTTATATTTCATCATACTTTAATACACGAGTTATGACTAGTACATCTATATAATAAAATAAGAGTGTGTTTGAATTTTTTTTCAGTTATATTTTCTCCATAAAAAACATCATCAATCACTTATCTCATCTATCATTCATTTGTCAGGCTCAAACGTTAAATCACATCACTTATTTCTATCACATATTTAATAATTTATATATTTTTTTCTTAAAAATATCACACAACTCATTTCTATCATATATTTAATTATTTAATATTTAGTTAATTTTTAGTTAATATATTTTGAAAAAATTTAATATAATGGAATCGATTTTTTGAACGCTCGAATTTTATATTTTATCGTGCTTTAAGGCACGAGTTATGACTAGTATATATACAATCCGAAAGACGAAACAAAGAGTTCTCTGTGCAGCATGGGGCTCTGTCATCCGTTCATAAATTCAGTAGCCAAAGCTAAAAGAAAGAGAGAATTATTCAAAGCGTGCCCCTGAGCACCGACACCCGAACTACTTGCCTTCTATATGAGGGGTTAAATTGAACTTGACTCGGAATGAAGAGAGACTTTTTTGATTAATCAAAACTTATAATTCAATCCAGTGAAATTATACAAAAATAAAATTATTTGGAAACAATCATTATATTTTAAGATTGATTCTAACAATTTAAGATCGATTTTAACATTTTGAGATCAATTGCAATATATATATATATATATATATATATATATATATATATATATT